TATAGACAGTCACCAGGTCCCCCCTCAGCCTTCTCTTGTATGCATTAGTCTAGTAGCTGTATGAAAATATTAGCTTGACTCCTCCTTTTTTCCAATTTACCTTCAATCTTTGAAAGTTTTCCTTAGGAAATAAGTGCTTAACTTTCTTTTAAGTCTCTTTATGCCTCTTTCTGCTGAAGTCTGACAAATAATCATGATAGTTCTATACGTTTAAGGCTATAGAAGTATTTTTATTTGTCACTGGATTTCCTGGTTTTCTTATATAATGGCTGATCAAGTTCACATGCAGTCACTAGGCAACAGACAAATGCTAATTTAGTTTGGCAAGTCCCTCCTCTTGCATTGGACACTGCTAGACTAACCAATTGCTGACTTTGCTGACTCTCTGCTTCTGCTGTAAATAAGCTTAGGAGCTTTAAGTACTGTGGAAGACATCTGCGTGCAAATATTCTTTCTTAAGTTGTGAAGTACTTGGCAAAAACCCTACACTGCAATGCATTGTTGGCAAGCAGCTAGCTGATGATGCACTTTTGGCAGACAGTCCAAGGAAAATTCTTTAGTTTAAAAAAAAAAAAAAAGTCACTAAGCTAAGCTCTGTTACTGCTGCACGGCTGAGTTGATCTTTGAAAACAGAAGTCTCATGAGAGGGCTCTCTGTGCAGTTTGGCATTTGGATTTTTCCTGTTCCTAGTGATGGGTTCTACTCAGTAGCACACATCAGCCTAGAGCTTTTGGCAAATAACCTAACCTGAGCACAGTTTTTTCTTTTAAGTCTTGCATTCTGATGCCTGTGGTAAGTAACTTGTGGGCTTTTTCCCTATTTCTTTTTGTCTGGGAGTCATGTTGTATTATGGAAGTTATGAGGAAGTTTCCAAACTTAAATGTAGAACTTCAGGCAGATTGGATTAGAAAACCGAAGTAATAATAACTATTGCTGCTTAATTTAGCAGGGAATAAGATTACACTGCCTGCCTGAATATAGCACAGAGTAAATGCATCATGAACAAATGAAAACAACCATATTCATTGCTATAGCTTTCACAAGAAAAGCAAGTCACCAACTTCTCTCTAGCATTGTCATTTAATGCTACAATGAATTTAAAATACTGAAAAACTTCAAGATGAACAGTTAAAATTTTGACTGTTAATTTTAAGCAAGTTCATAAAACTATGCTGTACTAGGGACAATAATACTAAAGTAACTAGAAGCAGCTAGCCACATACTGCTGATACCTACTATCCTGGAAAGTTGAGCTTTTTGGCACAAACTAATAAAATATACCCTCTTCTAAGTCTTGGGAAGAACTGCTAAACTACAGGGTGTTGGTTTTTGTTTTGTTTTTTAAATGGAGTATGATCTCCAGTTTAAATGTGGTCCATCTCAATATTTCTGAGACCCTGCTCACACTGAATTAAAATACTCAGTCCCAAGGAAAGTATGTAATGCTCTTAGTATATGTTGCAGTCATGGGTTAGGATCCACTCTTAAGAGTTTGTACAGTGCCTAGCACAAAAGACTTTTCCTAGTGAAAAGAGTGTTTCAAGTTTTGGTGTAAAGGAGCTGCAATGAATAAAACTGCAGAAGTCTTTAACCCTAGCATGTTTTGCTACTGATCTAGTATTTGGTCAAGATGTTGGGAATGCTAGCTCACTGACTGAAATGCACTTTGGATAAGTCTGGAAATGCCAAGAAAAATGATTGGAAAAAGTTACAAGAATCAGTGATACCATCTAATTGAGGGTGTGTACTTGTCACTTGCTGCTAGAGTTCATAGTGCCTACCAGAACTAGATTAAAGTACAGGCATTAATTTAAAAAAAATCCCTAGCTCTTGAAGTGACTCTTAAAATCTCAGCTTTTATTTTAAAGTGATTTTTTTTTCTTATCTAAATAGGGTAAAGTGTTAGATTAGGTCACAGGTAAAATGTCTGAAAACCCAGATAATCTGAAACAGTACCTAAAAGATATCAACTGCCCCATGGGTTTGAATAGTGTAAACTCCAAGGCTTGTTGCTCTGGGTGCTCTGCCAATGCTACCTTAAGAAGATGGCAGAGAAATGCCAAGGGAAAAGCCTATAGAAACAGTTACCCCAGCAGCAAGGCAATTAAGCCCTCCATGTTCTGCATTATTAGCCTTTTTATGGTGGGGTGTGGGGAACAGACACTTCTTAAAAAAGAAAGTGGGAGCAAAGTGATTTCATGCTGTTTCCTGCGCTTCTGTAAGAAGTGGGGTCCACTGATCTCAGGTGGAGGGTTAACAAGAAGACCAGTGTCATGCGACTGGAAATCAGACTTCTTTATCTGGCCTTGGTGTAAAAGTTTTGGGGTGTGATTTATTTGGGCAGCATCCAGTAATATTTCTTTTCTCCACGAGAGACTAGAAAAGGATCAGATTCTCTCACCTTTTCAATGTCAAGGGTAATTAACCATAGTAGATTGTGTAATAGTGCTTAGATGGCCTTCTATGACAAGATGACTGGCTGTATGGATGCAGAGAGCATATTGGATGTGATATACCTTGATTTAGCAAGGTTTTTGATCCAACCTCCCACAAGATTCTTTCTTTCAAGCAAGCTAAGGAAGTATGGGTTGGATGAATGGACTATAAGGTGCATAGAAAACTGGATAGTTGGTTTTAGATGGTAGTAATCAATGGCTTGATGTTTAGTCAGCAGCTGGTATCAAGTGGAGTGCCTCAGGGGGTTGATCCTGTGGTCATCTTTGTTCAATATCTTCATCAACAACCTGGAAAATTGGATGGGGAGCATCCTCAGCAAGTTTGCAGATGATGCCAAGCTGGGTGAAGTAGTAGATATGCTGGAGGGTAGGGTTAGGATTCAGAGAGACCTCAACGTATTGGAGGATTGGACGAAAACAAATCTCATGAAATTCAATAAGGACAAGTGTGAAGTCCTGCATTTAGGATGGAATAATCCCATGCACTGGTACAGGCTAGGGACTAGAGATTAAGTGGCTAGGCAGAAAAGGACCTGGGGATTACAGGGGGTAATGAGATGAATATGAACCCTTGTGGCAAAGAAGGCTAATGGCATATTGGACTGCATTAGTAGGAGTGTTGCCAGCAGATTGAGGGAAGTGATTATTCTCTTCTGTTTGACCCTGGTAAGGCTACATCTTGGGTACAGTGTCACGTTTTAGGCCCCCCAGTACAGAATGGACATGGACAGATTGGAGTGTCAAGCAGAGGGCAGTGAAAATGGTAAGAGGGCTGGGGCACATGACTTCTGAGGAGAGGCTGAGGGAACTGGGCTTATTTAGTCCAGAGAAGAGAAAAGTGATGGGGGATTTAATAACAGCCTTCAACTACCTGAAGGGTGGCTCCAAAGAGGATGGAGCTAGACAGTCCTCAGTGGTGGCAGATGACAAGATGAGGATCAATCATCTCAAGTTGCAGCAAGGGAAGTTTAGATTAGGTATTAGGAAGAACTTTCTCACTAGGATGGTAGTAATATAGTGGAACAGGTTATCCAGAGAGGTTGTGAAATCTCTGTCCTTGGAAGTTTTTGAGACATAGCTAGACAGTCTTGAGTGGAATGATGTAACTGGGGTTGCTTTGAGCAGAAAGTTGGATTAGATGACCTCCTGGGGTCCCCTCCAACTATAACTTTCTATGATTTTATGGAAGGGTACAGCTCAGTTGGTACAGCTTTAGCAATTTATAAGATCAGCCTTCTGATGTGCATTGACTGTTTTAAGGTATAACTTTAAAATGTGGTTCTTTAAGCTTGTTCCCCTCGTTCAGGTGTCAAAGTTACTGGTGAAGACTTAGTTGGATTTGTGGCAACATAACTTGTGAGCCTTGGTAACAAACTAGAGCTTTTCTAACTCACTAGTTAGTTTGAAAGTATTATGATTTGTTTCTCTTAAAAGAAATGGTCTACAAGACCATCATTTTACATGAAATAAAATAAGGTTTCATCAGTTTTTATTTCTGTGAGCACAATAGGAAGAGGAGGTAGTTTCTTTGTTTGCAGTTGTAAGTAACTTTTTAAGCAAGGTCCTTACTAAATAAATGCATTGTACCTTATGTTGGGGTGGCAGCTCTTCATTTTTACTGTTTCTCTCCATTCTCTTGAATTAAGGGCAGCAGTTAGGCCATTGTGCTTCAATAAGGTTTTGTCCAGCAATATAGCACCGTGCAAGTTTATTCAACAAGCTAACTAACAAATAACCACAAATTTAGTGTGTCAGTGACGCATCCTGTCCCAAACAGTTATACAAGTAGAACGCAGGAAAATATAATAGAACAGTGTTGCCTGGGTAGGTGCTTAAGAGCGGGATGCTGGAAAATACTGAAACAGATGGCTAAGAAAAGATTCTACTGGTGTTGGAACCTCAGGGGAGCACAGGCTGTGAATGTCATTGGGATGAGTTCTTGGATGTGGGAGGAGGAATCCTTGTGCCATGTGGCTGCAAGAATGCTGAGGACCTGTGCCAGTAGTAGATCTTCATCTCTTGCTGAAGTTACAGCTTCCTCCTCTAGCTCCTGCTGCTCCTTAGTTGTTCATTTCCAATTCTGATCCAACAGGAAAAGAGGTATACCACTAGCTTCTAGGAGCCAAGAGATGCAGCAGCAGACAAATGCTTGCAGCTAAATGAACTCTGACACCTAGCAGTGATGTGGGAATACACGATAGGGCTGCCAAATCCTCATATGTTATGCGAGATGTGACAGTTGGCAGCTCTGTGTCAATTTGGAAGGGTGCTGGAGTCCCTGCTGAAGAACACTATTCCTAGTCCCATATAATCTTGAGTTTATGGACTTTCTGGGCATGGCACAAAGTAAGCATGTCAGTTTAGGGTCTTGTTGGGGGGTTAGTGCCCTCTTTAGTGTTGGGTAGCTGCTGCTAGTGGTACTCTTAATCATGTGCACCTTTTTTACTTTGTGTCATTCTACATATATCACATTTTAATAATTGTTCTCTGCATAACAGCAGAGTCGAGAGACATTTCAGTCAAATTCTACTCATTTTTGTTTTTAAAAAAGATGCAACTTGAAATATTTCTGTTTAATCCTTAATATATTCCAGTGGAAACTTCCCTTGATAGTAACTCTAATAACAGGCTTGCATTGGTCCATGAGAACCTGGATGCAGGTGAAGGTACTAATGCTTTAGTTTATCATTTTCAGGTCTCATACAAGCTGTCTTTTTCAATTGCAGCCTCAGAGCATGCAGCTGCATTGTTTGTTTTGCAGCATCAGAATGCCTTCTAAGGCTAGTATTTATAAAAATGAATTATACATGGATCTCAAGGTTGTGTTGGCACTAGTACATCATTATGAGAACTTTCTAAACATCTTGGGTTTTTTTGAAGAAAACTTAGTTATTGTTTTAAGGATTGAGGCTATAGTGACTATTATTGAGCAACATCTGATCAATATGAACACTTGATCAATCAGTTTACCCTACACAGTGGATCTAATCTATTTTGATGTGGTATTCTAGTAATAAACTTACTAACGGTGTATTTTTACTTTCAAACTTTTGGAAAAAGTTGATTTCTTTGCAGTATATTGCACAAATATACCAGTACATATAAATAAACGTAAAATAAACGAATACTGAGGCCTCTGTTCCTTTTATATGCCAAAAGAGAACAGTGTTTAACCTGTTTAGCAGGCCTGCCCATCATTACAACATCCAAGCAGGTGCTGTATCTTGGTTGCTTACAGACATTTGGGAAGGTTAGATCAAGTTTAAAAATGGCAGCCTGATCTAAGGTAAGTTGGGAGGGGGGGCAAGCAAGGCCCATGTGGGTGCTACTGGGGTC